TGGGAGCAACCAATATTAACCTAGCTGCAGGTCATGTTCTGCATGTTACAAAGTGCTGTTAGCCTGAAACTGGGCGTGTAACCATTGGGAACATGTCTCATCTGCACAGTGCACAAGTCAGTGCACCTCAGAGTATAATCCAAACAGCTGATACTTCTTTTTAAAGATGATGTTCCCTTTGATCGACTTCCACTTTCCAACCCAAATTTTGTCATTGTTTTTAGTGCTGTCTTTTAATGTTGTCAACGTTTATCACCGTGTCTATGTTCTATAAGGCAAAACAAATATGGAAATTGGAAACTTTAAACTGAAAATTAGTATAGAAAATGTTCCCATAATAGTGATGCCCTAGTCAGAAACAGGCAACCAAGTCACTTTCTGGATCTTGTGCTCTGCTGGAGGTGGAGAAAGCAAAAACAAAAAAAAAGAAAAGAAAAGGCAAACCAGGCTGAACTTGGGTCTAGTTTGTCAGAAATGTAATGATCAGCTCTTTGTACATGGAGAAGAACCACCAGTTCCTTGAGTCTGTGTGTAGTAAAATGGTAACTTGTGTTTGAAAGAGCAGCACATCAAATGCCATTCATCTTTACATCTCAGAATAAAGTTTACACTGGGGAAAAAGCAAAAACTGCAATAGGAATCAAGAAGTGAAATGACACCTGCAAATCATACCAGCAATTTTATAAACCAAACTAGAGGCCCGCCTTTGCAATTATTATCTGAGAATGCCAGATTGGTTACGCCAGGGCCATTAGCCTGCAGCCCTCCAGGTGGGTCAGACGGCATCTCCCGTGCATCTTCATGAGCTGTGCCAGCTAAAGCGGATGGGAATTGGAGCTCAAACCTATCTAGTGGGTTGCTATTGCCCATTTCATTTTATTTTGCCCTTTTACTACAGCTGTGTGTGTGCTTCAAAAGTGGCATTTAGAGCTGGACGTTAGATACTTTTACAAAACACTTTAAACCTTTCTCCTTGAAAGAATATATACCATTGTATTTCTCTTTATCAGAGCTTTAGCCCAGCAAATTGACACTTTCAGCCATGCAAATATTGTTCCCGGGAAGTTAGCAAGAGAAAAATGGATCAGCTTCTCAAAGATAAAATGCATTCTAATGATGAGAAGCTTACATTATAACAAATACTACAAGAGTCCTACAGGGCAGAGAGTTATGTGCATGTACGCATTAGTCTCACTATGTATTTCTTTCCAGTTCCAATGAAACTCATCTTTTGTTCTGTAGGATAGGCATTCTCCTTGAAAAGGAGATGATTGTTGCAGTTACTCCCTATCTGCTTAGTATGTTATCATCCTCAGTATTTTAATGACATTAGAAACTTGGATTCTTATTCTCTCCCACTCTGGCTCATTCATCCATTTAATAGCTTAAAAAAAAAATCATATTAGTCAACTCTGCTCTTGCCCTTATCAAGCAAGAACCTTGACGGCTTCAGTGACGAACAGAAGAGCCCAGTTAATAGCACCCTTGCTTTCCTGACCTTCTTTGGCCTTTGCCTGATTGCTTGTTGCACAAGGGTTCCCAAGTACAAGGCCTGGCCCATGCAGTACCTTGATTTGGACACTGCTTGAGATAATCACATGATATCACACAAACATCTTACTGACAGCAAAAAAATGCAAGGAAAATGATAGGGCAGGACAGTCTTGTGGATGAAACAGTTTCTCTACTCCTACTGGCATCACCTGGTGAATATGAATGCACCGTTGTAGATTCTTACCTGATCTTTCTGGCTAAGAGCAGCACATTGGCCTTAAATGCAGAGTTTCAGCAAAACTCCATTCTATGAACACATCCCTTGAAATTTACAGAATATGCTGGCTTGTGGTTCTAGTCTCAAGCAGAAGCAGATCTTGTAAAGCCAAACAATTCCCCAGTAACTGAGCTGAAAAAGAGGCTGGTGATGGCCCCCAGTTTCTCCTGCATATTCCCTTATCAATCCTATTTTTTAGATTCAGTGGAGTATTGACATGCCTATGCTCACCTAATTTGGCAGGAAAAAAACAATTGGGGGTAAGGTGGTAATTTCTTTCACCCCAAAGTCAGATCTATTATCCAGCCCAACATGCAGAGACAGAAACTCATCTATTCTGTTTCGAAGAGTGGAAAAATCATGGTGTATGTTATTTGTGTTATATCAGCTGGGTTCTGGCCTTGGATTTACAGCTCTCACTGTACCCCAGTTAAGTTATAAAACCAGAGAGATTGCCTAGTCACAGACTTGAACTTCCTCATAAACTGTGACCTTTCCAAAAAAATCTTAAGTTTAAATAAGCACACAAAATCACGGCCGCATTTTTGTTCCAGTAAACAGATTCTCTTGCATTTGACATCAAACATTAATCAAGGAAAACAAAAACAAAAACAAAAATTTATGGAAGAGGAATGATTTCTATACTATAAATAGATACAGGAAAACGAGCCATAATTAGAAAATAAATTCCAGAAATGAAACACTGTATCAATAAATTGTTAATTAATCATAATTATTGAAAACCCTGATTGGCTCCATCTCCTGGAGTAAATTGCACATAGGATATTACCCTTGTGTGCTTTCAGTTGCTGCATTAGATATGAATCCCCACCACATCCCCCGGCCAAAAGAAAACAAATTTCACAGGCTCGCTGCTACAATAGTTTTCAATTATTCCTCTTCCCAAACTCTGAAAGCTCCAGAGCACATATGAGGCAATGCAAGAAGTCTTGGGTCTCGCCTACTAAGCCCTTTCTCATAGTGGCAATCTAGGAAGGTCGTGACCAAAAAAAAAAAAGAAGAAGAAGAAGAAGAAGAAATAGAAGAAATAGAAGAAGGTAGAGCATCGGGAATGTTTCTCTCCGGTCACAGCAAAGCAGTTCCTTGAAAAGAGGACAGAGCATTGGCCCACAAAAGGATGTTCATTTGTAATCAAATTAGGATTTAAAGTACTCTATGCTAAGCTTAGGCTATAGTCCTGATGTGACATAGTCTGGAATAGTTCAATCAGCATCCAACATAATTTCTCTGAAGACAGTCAGTTGAGATCTACAGGGATTAATGGTTTTAGACGTTTAGCTTCAGCTATCTTAATGCTAACGGACCTATAGTAGAGCTATGCATCACACTGTCCCCCTTCTCAGTGTTGCATCTGACATATTTCATCCTTGTCCTGCGCATGCATGCATGGATGCATGCATGTGTGTGTGTGTATGTATACACACACACACACACGCACACAACATTTGGGAAGGGACATGTGGGAACATTTGGGAAGGGAGAAAGGCAGAGAGAAGAAAACTTTCTTCTCAGAGAAGTGATGTGGGCAACAGTACCTTCTGCTACAGATCCAACAGGGACACCAGATTCGTTTTGGACTCACATCCACAAGTTAATGTGAGCTATTTATAGAGGGTGTATGAAAATGTCTCATCATCCTCTTTAAATACAACGGCTTCTCCAGAACAGCACAGGCAGAATTGTCAGGCCATTTGTTTGCCCCTTCAGGTGACCCAGGGCAACACAAGATCTTGCATCCACATTTCTAAGCAAAGAGAGGGGAGGAGGAGAACGGCAAGGAAATGCATCTCTGTAGGGGACAGGGAGGCTTAGGAGAAAGTGGGTGGTGGTGGTGGTGATCTGGCCAGATTTTCCAATATTGCCCTTACATCACCTCCCTGCTTGGGGGTTGGGGTGCTTCACAGGTTGCTAAAGAGTTCATTTTTCTTGCTCCAGTCCATTTGTGGTGCCCGTTTGCTGGTGCGTTTCTGATGGGCACGCTCTTTGGCTACTGCCAGTGGGATGTCCAAGTCAAGAACGGGATCAGAAGTGGTGCTGAGCTTCTCCTCCTTCTCATGAGAGTGCAGCTGTAAGAACAACAGGATACAAAAGCAAACAATAGTGTAGAGTACGTAGCAGGTACCTGAAATGGCATCTGTCCTATGCATGACCCAAAGCCCAGGCACTTATCACTGGGTGCATTTACATGACACACCTCTCTATAGTTTGGAGTAGCCATGAGTATGAGGCCTATGAAGGTGCCTAGCAGGCAAACTACTCTCTTCTCCTCCTGGCTGGCATTACAGGGACTGGAATTTTTTCGCTGGATGCAGGATGGGAAAAGGTTACTCTTTCCCCAACTTTTTAATTTTTATTTTACAGAACTTACTACAAGAGAAAGAAACAGCCAAGGGACAATGGAAACACTGCAGCAGGAGCAGCTGTGACTTGTGATCCCTCCTGCCATCCTGCTCTCTGACCACAGGCTGGAGGCGAGGTGGGTCACTGTTCTTCAATTCCCTGTCTGGGTTCAGGAATACAGACAGCCATGACTATAAGCCATGATTCTAAACTATGGTTAAGGCTCTCCATCTTAACTCCCACCTCTGTCGAAGATTACTCTAAGCCTAATTCATGTATCATTTACCATGCAAACGCTTCTGTTGATTGCTATACCATTAATTTTTTTTAAAAAAAAACCACTTTAAACACGAAGAACATTACTAAACGCAGGTAGATTTAGGGCTGATCAAAGGAAATACTTTTTTATTTACATAGTATTTAATTAATATGAAATTTGTCTTCATTATATGCAATAATTACACCAACTGAAATGGTTTTAAAAGAGGGACTTCATAAACTCATGGAGAATGGAGCTATCTATCTATGGATACTAGTCTTGATGCCTGTCTACCACGGTAATGGTATGTGAGGAAGACCTTGGGAGACTGGGCCAAAAGATGTTACCAACAGAATGGTCAGATAAGAGACAGCATAGCCCACAGCTGACTAGTGGATGGGGCAAGAGGCTTAGAAGAGACCCTCCCTAGTTTCTCGGGCTGTAAAGGAGATGGTGGGAGAATTATACTTTCAGACTTGCAAGATTCTGTTAATCTTCTGTAGCTTTACAATAAAGTAGAATTAACTCATCTGTTGTGTTTCCTGTCTGGTCTACCTAGTAAGGCTGACATCAATCTTGCAAGTCTGAAAGTAACTCATCTGTTGTGTTTCCTGTCTGGTCTACCTAGTAAGGCTGACATCAATCTTGCAAGTCTGAAAGTAACTCATCTGTTGTGTTTCCTGTCTGGTCTACCTAGTAAGGCTGACATCAATCTTGCAAGTCTGAAAGTACAATTCTCCCCCACCCCTGTTTCCTTTACAGCCTGAGAAACTAGGGAGGGTCTCTTCTGAGCCTCTTCCCCTCCCACTAACCAGCTGTGGGCTAGGCTGTCTCTTATCTGACTGTTCCCTTAGCAATGTCTCTTGGCCCAGTCTCCCAAGGTCTTTCCCACATACCATTACAACCACCTCTAGAATCATAAGCAAGATTCCTTTAATATCAGCTGCTAATGAGCAACAGTAGAAAAGAATGATCACCTCCTATTATATGTTGCTAAATGTATCTGAATGCATTGTGTAGCACCAAATGTTAGGGTATATGGACCACTGATCTAACTTAGCAGGATTCTTCTTATGATCACATGAGAGAGTTTCAGAAATTCTTCACTGTCTCTTGCAGTGCAGGCTATTCTCTATCTCCATACCTCTCTTCACATGTTTTGAAAAAGATCAGGAAATTGGACCATGACTACCTAAAGGGGTAGGAGGTTAGAAAGGAGAATTGAAATAAGACTTGTATTTGGTTGGTAGACTTCACATTGCTTACTCTGCTCATTTTCAGGGACTATATGTGTCCTCTGATTACTGTGGTACTAAGCGATGGGCCACAAAGAAGCTTTCCAAACAACAACAGAAAAGCGAATTGGACCTTTATATGTGACCAAAATTGTAGGGTGTCATTTAGAGAGACATATACAGATGTTAGCATGAAGTACGAGTCAGACAGTTGTCCCTTTTCTCCCCTAAAAAGGGAGGTTATAGTGCAGTTCCATGGGGCATGAATTTGAAGTACTTCATGGCCCAGTACCAAGATATGCCACAGTGTAACTTTGACACTACTTCTTTTGATTTATGAGAATATTTAGGTTGATATGTTTTCCCATATAGGAAAGCTGGTTTATGACACCATAGCAGGAAGCTTGACCCTAAGAGTATCTACAGACTATCTAGTTGTCAGGATCCATTAAAATGGACAAAATCAATGCAGCACTCCACTCCTTTTATTTTCCTTCCTTACCCATACCTCTGTTCCATTTACACTGAAATTGTACTTTTAACAGCTGCTATAGCAATGCCATGTCCAGTGTGATTCTACAAGACCAGAACACCAGCATCATTTGCAGCAAGGATCCCATTCACTTTGGGGGCTTGCAGAAAAAGCCTGTGAGGCTAGGCTAAATAACTCTCTCTTAGGCACTCACAGAATTCAGTAAGACTCATCAACTTTCTGAACCACAAAAGTCATACTCCTACAGTATTACAGTATGCCACATTTGGGGTTTTCCATTGGATTCATACAGAAACAACCTGGGTGACTCTGCCTAGTATCAGATCTGCTTTATGGCCAAAGGAGATATTACCTTTAGTCCCCTTTTTTTCAAAATATAATTCTCGAAGAAAAATAGTAATACACAGTCCCAACTTGACATCATATTCCCAATCTAAATTGGGAGCCCCACCCTATTGCCCCTGAAATAACTCTCCCTGGACACTATTTGATCCTGAAGATAGGGTTTGCCATCCTTGGTGCAAATAGCAAATCACCCTCCCTTCAGTTGTTTTCAGCAGGAAAACCTTACAATTCCTAATCTGTTATCAAGTCTTCACTAGCTATTTCTCACCAAATAAAAAGTGGAAGCATTTAACACACCTCTTTTAAAAAAGTATGAATAACGTAATCTTTCCAAGCAGCCAAGAAAAGAAACTACAGAATGTTTACTTGTTTGTTACCATGTTAAGAGAAAATTGTTTTTTTTACCACACAGATGGGGACCTAGCTTCTCCATCACTGCAAAATAATACCATATCCATCCTCCTGGTCTTTGAGACTGTCCAAGGAGTATTTATCCACACCTCTCACTGGATGTTCCACCTCACTCATCATTCCCGTTTGCCCACTAGGCCCAGGCTGTATTCATACCTCAGTGCAAGGTTCACTTAGAATTGAAGAAGGAGACACAGTCATTGGGCTAGAAGGGCTTTCAGGATCAGTCTCTGACTGGTCATCTCTAAGGCTCCCCTAGAAGAAAGAAAGAAAAACTTGAAACCTAAGGGAAGGAAAGGGCTCTTTAAGTAGTAGGCAACAGCATTATTTCAAATTAAAGACAGTGGAACTGAACACATTTTTATTGCAATGCTTTCCTTCTACCTAGTCCACTCTATTTGTTTTGCTTTAACAGGATTTGAGGACTGTCATAATGACCTTATAGTCCTATTTCCCAACTCAGTTATTCACTGTTATGGCACACTGGCTTCCCATAAGGACTGGTCTGTCTATCTAGTAAAAACACAGTGTCCATGTCTTTCTTCTCAAGGCCATCATTTGCTGTACCAAGGTTCACTCAAACTCTCCTCTGAGCTGCTGGCAATGAGGCCAGAAAAAGCCTCGTTAACATACTTAACAGGAATAACAAGTTGATTCAAAATTATTGTTCTTGTAGAGTTCTGAGCTGTGGGGCAGTGGCAAATCTTCTCTTTTCCGAGGAACCTTTAGTGGGGGAATGTTTCTTTATTTGACAAGGAAGCTGTGTGGACTCTCTTTTCTTTTTTGACCAATCACTTTGAATGGCATTAGAAATAATATTATAAAGTGAAATAGAATGGATGCCACAGAAGCCATTCTGAAAAAGGGGTGACAACCCAATGAGTGGGAGATCATGTCCAGCAGTTATTCTTTTCCCCGTCTGCTAACTTTATCTCCTTTTTTTAGAGCCAAGGGGCAAGGTGGCACAGCTCAGCTTTTTGGAAAGAAAGAAATAGGCCAGGCTGCAGGGCAGGATTATCCAAAATGTCACAACTCCCTGCAAAAGCAGGCAGGAAGGAGTTCACATTAACAAAGGGAGATGAGGAAATCAGATCTTCTCTGAAATACTCTGTTAACCTTTCTGCCTTACTTCATACTCCAACCACATCAAGAACAAGGTGGCACTCTCCCTCTTCCTTACTGACAGCAGATTGAAAAACCTGATCCTTAAACCCATGATTGGCTGACAGACCCCAGTCTAATAAGCCTGTTCTGGGCATCATCCAATTTCCACATCCCGGAGAAAGATTAATCACCAGCTAGGCTCCATCTCTCAGCCATTCTTCCCGCTCCCACAAAAAGGGGTGGAACACATAGAAAAGATCAAAGTAAGACACTCCAGTTCTCTGCACTGGTTAAATCAAAGCTAGAAGAGATCTCAAGACTTTTGTTGAAATTTGGCCACCAACTATCTTGAGACCACAACAGGACACCCTATGGCAGTTTAAGTTATACGCCAGCTTGATTAAGCAGGTCTTCTCTACCTTCTGTTTTTACTCCAGGTTTTGTATCAGAGTGGGAAGAATCACATTCCAAAGTTACTTCATATAAAAGTTTGATGGACAGCTCCTAACATCCCAGTTCTTGCAGGAAGAGGGCAAAGAGCAATAGATTTTCACAAACCTCTCTAAAACCCAGGTTCAGCACGATTTATTTACAACCTTAGAAGGAAACAAGTAAAAGAGAAGGACAGAACTATCTATACTAAAACCTCTCAAAAATAAGGATTACACAGACTGGTTCAGCACACATTTCTGTATTTCTTCTGTTTTTCTGAGGTACTGACTTCTACCTACAGATAAGCAGGAAGACCCTTTTTTCATATTTCAGAGAAAAGGATATTAATTAAAAGGAGATTGCTCAACCTACTCCAGGTAGATTTAACATTACAGTAGGAAATAGAGACTTCAGGGAAGACAGTCTATCTATGGGGAGAATGCTATAGCTAAAAGGGAAACACCCAGGAATAGCAGCCTTTGACAACACAAGGCTCCTCCATATCAGGAAGAAATTTCTAGCTATTTGAACTTAGTAAGATTTCTGAAAAGGCCAAAACAAAAGGAGGCAATAGGCTGAAGGAAAAGCTGACCTACATGCCTCAAATCTAGAAAGATTCTAACCACTTCTACTGAGTGGTTAGAAAAACAATATCACTTTTCTTTCAAACAGAGAACATTCCAAAAAGATTGACATTTCATAGCAACATGAGAACATTTAGTTATGCTCCAATTTGCTGTAATTTTATGAGGGCTTTTTGCATGATCACATCAACTCAGCTATTTCATCACCAGTTCCACACGTGAATCCTTCAGTGACAACAGCAGCACAATTTCTCATCATAAGTTAGAACAGATTCCCCCTTCACGTTTCTTGACTTTGGACCAATACAAATTTTCTACATCTGGGAAAACATTTTCTCCAGTTGTTCTTACTCCAGTGACTGTATTCAGGTGCTAAACATGACCAAGCATTATTACAATGAGCCACTTCCCCTCCAGTTCTTCTGCTTCCACTATTTATTACAGTTTATTACAGTGCCATAAACTCTAAAACATGATTAATGATTAGAGAAAACAAGCCAGTTTCATAATTTATGGCTAAAGGCTTGTTTCCACTAAGCACAGTTAAGACTAACCACATTTTGTCCAGATTTGAATGACAAGCAAATGGTTAATTAAAAACTCCTTGCAGCTGCTTTGTGTTGGGTGTTCTCATAGCACTGAACTACAGCTTATGTATACAACTTAACTAGTCAATTTCTGGTAAAATGCTACATACATATTGGGATTTTGCTAAACTTTGAAAATCCTAGGAAAGAGATGAGCTGGACAGATTGGGAGAGAAATTGCTGTGGACATCGAAAGACTGCCCCAAGGGATATTTGCATTTCAGAGCCTTTTAAGCTTGTGCCTTCAAGTTTAAAAACAAGATTCTTCTATCTCTAGTTGTGGAAAAAGGTGTATGAAATGATTTTGAAGGTGATTATTGCATTACATCACATGGGAGGGAGATTTGACCATCTGTGGTACAGAGCAGCTACTATTTCTCCTATGCTAGCTTGCCAATTAACATTCAGGCCAACCAGAAAAAAAATGAGATTGCATGACATATATATCCTGTTTACCCATAGTCTGGCAATATCCTCATTCTGCCCCTGAATGTATATTCAAATGCTTACCACTCCCCCACTCCGCTTTTTTTTTTTTTAAGATTCTAATGAGGCTTTCTTTCTTCTCTGACTTTAATTAGGCTTTGTTTTTTCAAAGCAGACTGGAAGTAACTTGGCCTTTTAGGAGATGTGAGATTCCACCCATAGGGTGAAGAATGGGCCATTCTATTCAGTGACAAGAGGCAGGCTCTGAAATGAGTGACGTGCCTCCCTCTGCTGGGTCTGCTTTGCTCTAGAGGAACATCAAGAGCAATTCCTTGACAGCCCACCTCCCTTTACCAATTTAGGAAGATGTCACCCTTTTGATCTGACAGCCAACCAAAGGGTGCTCTGAGCAGTTTGTACATGGAAGATTTTTGAAGCAGGGAGACACAAAATATATTACAACTATTTGAAGACAATCTTGGCACATGCAAGGCTTCTATATTATTCCCTGTGTGAATGTATTGGAAAACTGGGGCCGCTTACAGCTTCCTGGCACACATAGACTCAGAAGGCATAAGAGTTGCTCAGTAGTCAGTTGATGCTTCCACCCCCCCTCCCCCAACACCTATGGCACAGAGCAGTCTGTGTGGTGAATCTGTAATGTTGAATGTAGCTCTAACACAACATAAGTCTATTAGCGAAGCATGTGCTTGGCAGTAGTTTTACCTTCTCCACATCACCATTGGCAACTGGTTCTGGTAAAGGACCTAGGGGGAGCGGAAATGAAGAACAGAACAAACAAAAATGTAGTGAATAAGTTTTGTTTCTATAACCCATTACTCCTTAGCATATCCCTTAACAGGCTGAAACAAGTATCATTGCTCCCTCTGCAATCTCCCAATTTTGTTACAGAAACATATCCCACTATCAGAACCCCTTCTCTCTCTCTCTCTTTCACACACACACACACCACCTCTCTGCAGTCACTTCCACAGAGCAATATCCCTTTTGCTTGTTGTATGGCAGAAATTGGCAACTTTTTTGGCCTGGGGAATTGACAGATAATATTTTGACATCACCAGAGTGGGTAGGTGATAATTATATTGTTATATAGTTTATTCAATAGATAGGTAGATAGACAGACAGATAGCCCCCACACACTTTTCTCAAGGGGCTCAAGATACCTTACATGGGGGCTGTTGGGGGTTAAAGGGTCAAATAAGTGTCTTCCAGTTGCTTAATTTTATCTCTTCTTTTGCATCTGATTAAAATTTATTTTTATCTATTTTTTTGCACTTTTCAACTGACTGCCTTATTGATTCATAGACATTTGAATCTAAATATTCAAATTAAATAAAAAGGAAAATTGTGGTGGAATAGTCAGCTGTTTCACAGACAATGGGTTGAGTTCAATTCTTGGAAAGTCATAAGCTGAAGTGACTCAGGGTTTAGAGCTGTGATCCAGCACCTGCTTTGCATGCTGGAGGATCCAGGTGGTGTTCTTGACACTTCCAGGAAAAAGGATATGTAGCAAAGGATGAGGAATTCTGCATGGAGAGCCACTGCTAAGCAGGACAAATACTATCCATTAGACTGAGAGTCTGATCTGGTTTAAAGCAATTTTTTTCTGCACATTCTTAAATGCTACTGGGGTAAAGGGAAAAACGAACATGCTCACAAACCCAAGAATCTGGAAAGCAATCTGCAAAATTCAGAATGATATCTTAATGGAAAGTTTGGAATCTGCAAAAGCAAGTTGTTGAATTAAAATTATGATGTATCCAAAGAGGCCTATCAAGACCTGGTTGCTATGAAATCAGTACAGTGGCCACATTTACGCATCATACTAGGTTGTTCCCCCCTTGCATTTAATAACCAGGGTATAAAGAGATGAATCCACAGGATGTGATCCAGAACCACAACATAAACTATGCCCCTTTTGTGTGTGTGATGTCATAACACACATACAAAAGGGATGGGACTTGCACAGCAACAGCACGATGCTTTTGTCATTTACACCTCCCCCTGACCAACAGCATCATCTGGCAGGGGAATCAGATCAGATGCAACAGAGGCAAGAGACAGAACGGCAATGGGAGCAACCATTTCACATCACTATAATTTATTGCCAAGTCAAGGACAGGAAGAGAACACTTTAGCTCAGCAATGGGGAAAGACCACAGGTCACAATGTGCTGCATTTCATTTTGATTTAAAAGTAAAGTGTGAACCAGGCCACTATGGCTTCTTTGATGATGATGATGGTGCTATCTGTTCAACTGTGTCCAATTCTCGGTGATTCTATGGACTAGTTCTCTCTACATTTTCTGATTTTGTACAGCTTCTTTCAGTTCTTTTATGCTCTGGTTGGTGTTTAGCCACCGTGATGATGTCTAGTTACCATGTTTTTTGACAACTTCGTTTCTTTTTACTGCTGTCCATTCCAAACATAACTGGCTTTTATGCTCTTTATGGCTTCTTTAGTAATCTGCAGTTGAACAATCCTGGTTTAGCATCATGTGAGAGCTCAGCCAAGGTGTCCCAGTTATTCAACTGGTTTCCACAAGTCTCCAGCTCCTGTCAATAAATCTTCATCAGTGACACAGCGGAAATTGCATGCTCAGTCCAAGAACTGAAGAAAGTCTCCTGTTCGTGCTCATCTACTTAGGATCCAAATATTTGCTTCCTGATCCACCTTCTCTCCCTTTCTAAAAAATCACATCCTCAAACACAAGAAGTTTCACTGAAGCCCAGCTTTAATGCTCAACAAAGTTCACTGAGACATTAAATAAGAGCAGCAGGCAGAATCCATTTTTTCTGGCTTAGATACTGTGTTGGTGTCGAAGAAGAAAAGGCAGTTAGCTGGTGTTGAAGTTGTGGTTTAGCAACAATCACAGAGATAATTCTGAGGTGTGCTTGCCAAAGACGCAAACAAAGCACAAGAACTGAAATGAAATGGCAGTTGGTGGCTGGGTGCCACAACAATGAATTCTTTGTTATAAGGAAGGAGAGAGAAAACATGTCCCCATGTTGCCTTAAACAAAAATCTAGACAGAGCTGGAAGCCTGCCTAACTCTTTAGATCCTGGCTCTACTTCCACTTATAGTATGTAACAATTAAATGCAAAATATTAGGACTTCTTTAAATAAAATGAATGGCAGTCCCTCAGACAAAGGTCTGATTCAGAGCCAAACTAGAAGGGCAGAAAGTCTCCATAGAGAATAGGCAGGTTCTCAGGAATAAAGAGGAGACAGGATTGCTATCAGGGTTGCTATCAGCCAAGAGAGAATGGAATTCCTCCCCACCTCCTTGGGTCTTGCATTATGCACTGCAGTATCATCAACATTCATCATGGCGCAAGCCAGAGAGATGGTGGGAAAGAGTAGCAATAATACTGCCCTCTCCATAGGCTCATTCCCCAAATGTCAAGACAAGCTGCTGCAAATGCAGAGGTTCTCATCCAGAAGGCATGAGCATATGAACCTGGAAAGTGATCCAGGTATGGATAGCTTGAGAATCGGGCTCCTGTCACTGGGAGGAAGAAGGCACTTACACTAGGAACAAGGCTTTGACAGAAGACACAGAGCTTAAGCACTCTGAGCCCCTGGAAAAGGGGAGACAAAAAACCCTTGGGAAAAATCCAGATCTTTCAGCTGCTTGCCCAGGTTGCTCCTTAGCAATGTGCTGCTTGGGCTCCGGGCAGTCCGCAAGCACAGCCTAGGGGCGCAGGCAGCCTCCTCGCAGTCCCAATGCAGCCAAGACACGGCAGCTGGAAAAGCTGCAAATTCATCTGCAGAACGAGGAAGGGGATTTCATCATCACCGTGCACACACTCTTCTTTCCTTGTCCTGAGAGATTTTATCTGGCACCACTGATACTTTCAAATATGCTTTGCTGCTCTTAGGGTTAGAAATTGCTCTGCTGATATTGCGTCTGAAAATAAAAACTTCTCTTTAACCATTTAGAATACTTTAGATACTTTTCCAAATGCTAATACTATGTATTTATATCTATCTGTTCCAATAGAAGAGAATAGCTTCTCAGGGTTGAACTGTGGAGTCCTTGGTGCTCTCTGAGCTTGGTTGCTTGCTTGCAGACATTTCATTACCCAACTAGGTAACATCATCAGTGCTGGTGAGTGTGGGGTTTGCTCCCTGTTTTTATATACAGTAGCTTGCCCTACCAGTGTTGGCGGGGGTGTGGTTTTCTCCTTGGCAGTTCCTTGATTAGGGTATTAACCCCTGCTTATCTGGGTACTGGCTGCTGGAGGTGATGTGTTGTGGTCTTTGTTTCCTTCTTAGCTTTTTGTTGCCTCTTTTGAATAGTGTGTAAATATGGTTTATTTCTGTGTGTCTACTGATGGCTGATTTGGTGAGTCAAGAGAGACTCTGAGCGACCGCATCCATGCAGTTGTCTTGGCGGCCTTACCGTTTGCCCTTGCCTTCTTCCAGGATGTTTCTTCAACTTCTCAGCCTGTGGATTTCTTGGTAGTTTCCTAGCCAAGGACCAACCAAGACCAACCTTGCTTATCTTCTTAGATCAGCCAATTATTGATTGCAATTTCTATTGATTGCAATTTCCATTTGAAAGTGGAAGGTTTAAATTGATTAATTAAGAACTTCCAGAGAGCATTTTCCTTCTTCCTTGGATAGCTGATGGAAATCCTGTCCCACTGGTGCTCCAGAAATGCTTCCCTCTTTCTGCCACTCATACCCATCCCTTCAGGGGATCCCAAAGCAGGCAATCCAAATTCAAACAGGTGTTCCATAAGAGTTGTCAATTTGAGGATACATCACATAGAGACAGATTAAGCTCTTGAAAACCCTCGCTCCACACAGAGCAACATTTCTAACTCTGTAGTGCTCTAAAGCAGGTGACTGAATTGTGTAATAAAGGTCAACTTTGGTCCAGGGAATCATAAAATAAGAAGTTCCTCTTTCTTGGACCAAGACTGTCCAAACTCCTGCTTTATGAACTTTCCTCAATTTGGATTCTCAATGAGAACCCTCTTGCCCAGAGATAATGTTTAATGCAATGGTTGGTCATTAAATCCTAGTACAAAACGGAAGTGAAACATACTTATATATGTCCCAACTGTTAACAGTTTAGTGTTAATCACACTAACACAGGGTTAGCCATGCAAACTAATAGGTGTAGAACTGCCCAGGTTTTTTAAAATCAATAATTAGCCTTTAAAAGTCCTTTAAATAATTTAGTAATTAGATGATTCAGTGCTGTTGTGCTTTTTCATCTCAGAGTTGTTGAGCAAACAGAACACTTTTATTGGGCAAAAGGCTGCCTCTCGGAAGATCACTCAAGGTCAGATGTCAATGATGCAAAGCCTTTCTTTTCCCCGGGCCTCGCTCCTCTGAGTCAATGATATGGCAGAGGAGGACTCTGGTCTCTTCTCTCTTGCAAGGCTACTCTGTATTCCTGTCTCTGTGGAGCAGAGAAATAGTCCTTTCCTTGAGCCTTGGTGGACCAGGTGAAGTGGAATCATGAATGATGGGTTCTTATCCATGCCCTACTAGAGATAGGTCTCAAACCCTAACATTTCCGGAGTGATTGGATTGCAGATTCAGTTCCTTTCTTCCCAACACAGCAGACAGAGCATGCATAAGGGTATCTTCCCAGGACAGATGCCCTTCGCTAGGTGTTTCTTTCTTTAAAAACTAACCTGCTGTGATCATCAAAAGCATGTCTGCCCTAGAAACCTACTTTTTCCAAGTACCAGAAAACCTTTTCCACTTATATAAGCCTTACAAAATGGTGGCAACCTTATTTAACCTCTGCCACATTCTTATGAAGGATTTGTTTAATTGTTTCTAAGATGTGCAACGTCACATAAGAAAATGGATTGGGTGGTGTGTTAAAAATATTATGGTAAGCCATTTCTAGCCACTTTTCAAGATCCAAGCATTTCCCTCAATTATGCATTAGTTGCTAATATTTAGTTAGTGGTAAGGCTCTCTATTATGGTATTGTTTAATCACCATTAAAAAGACTTTGTCTCCTGAATTACTTCTGCTCAATTAACTCTGAAGTAGAATATACAATGGTTACGTAGACATAATGGCTATATGGATTCTTTTTCCATTACTGAACTATTTCTACTCCCCCCTCCTGCAGACAAAAACACAAAAACATCTACGTGGGTTGATATGAAGAAGAATGTGGTCTTGCTAGAAAAAGCACCCTCACACAGGAATAAGGGCTGGAACTGATGATGCAGTTGAAATGGACAGAATAGACATTCCAATCTGCTCTTCCTCAACACACACAGCCCCAACGTGTTCACACAACACAGGACCAAAATTCCCTCGCATGGCCAATCCATCTGTGTGATCTAGTGCAGACATAAGATTGGGTCCTTCAAATCCAGGATTGTTCATGTGGGGATCCTGCCTTGGAAAAACACATTCCTTCCTTCGGAGCATGTGTAAAGGATGGGCTTGCATGTGTCTCTCCTTCTTGGTCTTTTATCCTTCCATTGCTGGAGATGCTGGGGACTTCATGCAAAGGTACATAGCGTGAGGTGCCTCAAAAGTGCTTTGTTCTAGTTCATCACAATAATTTAAACCAGTGTGGCACAGTCTTTCTGGGTTTCAGGAAAATTCTATTTTGGGCCTGGGTGCGGCTCTAAACCATTGTTTTAATACCAGTAAGAGAGCATAGAAAAAGACTCCTACTTGTGGGGAGAGGAGCCAGGCAATCCCAAGGCAAGCTCCCCAGTCTGCCAGTGCATGCTTTCCAGGGACTGGCATTTTATTTATACTGGCTTGTATACCCAATATTCCATTTCATTTATATGAAATGTAGCATTCATTTAGCACTTATATCTGCAGAACCTGGCCAGCATTTGAGAAAGTGGACCCAGAGCTTTGGGGGACTTTGCTCTTGCTTCAATGGAAAATATACCCCTCAGTACTACAGCACATGCTTTGAATGTAGGAAACTCCAGCTGCAGTCCCTTCAGGACTGTCCTAAGGAAGGGCTGGGCAAACTGTCCTGAACCATGGAGAACAGCTACCAGTCTATAGCCATAATTCTGGGCTCAACAAACCAAGAGTGTGACTCAGGAAAAAGCAGGTTCTTACATTCCTAAAGATGGAAGAACATCTTGTAGCTCATTTAACAATGAGCTAAGCCTTTCTGAATGAGCCAATCAAATGTTCCACTTCTTTTTAGTTCTTTTGTGTCAAGTACCCAAAGTTCTGAGGATGTTCATATAGCAAGTTTTTCCTGGCCACTCTGAAACATTGGGATTTATTTAATGTTTAAAGGGGCCATTAATTCCTGTCTCGTTTCTGGTGAGATCAATCACTTCCACCTGAGACTCAGACATAGCTACACTGCACTGTTCCCCCACAACAGAAGGTACGGGACCTTTGAGGGAGAAGATGAGGAGAAGTATCAATGGCTCTTGCCCGGGCTATCCACCAGGCCCATGCCCCCCTCAAATCTTGCGGGGGTGCATTCAAACACACTCACAGCATCCCTATCTGGGAAGGAGTTTCTCATCTCACCCAATCCACAAGAATATTTTCTGTAGCAAATGGCTGCCGCACCTTTCAGGTGTGCTTCGGAAGGGATGATTTTGCACTTCTTGAAGAATTCATCTGTTAAACTATCCACCACCAGCAGCTTGGTCTCATCTCCACCAGACTTTATGGCTGAAACAACATCTGAATGTTGCTTGCCTTCCATGCATTGCCCATTCACCTGCCAGGAAAGAAACATGTTCTGAGCACAAACAAACACATATTCAGGCAGGCACCCAATAACCCTGGAAGTTAGAAATGTTGGCACCAACCCCACGACAGTCAGTAGCAGCATAGCAAGTACAGGGCTATAGGGTATCATAAGTCTTACGCCCTGTCTCCAACAAAAGCAGTAGGAATCACCATAGCTGAGTCCTTTTTTGCCATTGTCATAGGATATTTAAAACTACCATACTCTGTCATTTTACATTATGTTTGACTATCTGAATTACATATAGTGAAGTTCTTTCTTTTCTTTGGTAACATAAATCTCCCTCAAACAGCCTTCCCCAATCTGGTGCCCTCCAAATGGGTCAAGCTGTAACTCTCACCATCCTTAACCTGCATGGTTTAGTGTTGGTTTAACATTTCTTGTGAACAGGGATATCTGGGTTGCTGCCATCCTAGCAAGACAGAACGATAACCAAGAACAAATCATGGGTTGTGGCTCTGACTTTTGAGAAAAACAATGCCAAGTCGAAAGGCTTCACTGCCTTTCCAAATTTAGCACTCCATCTGAACATGAAGTAGATGGAGCTAAATCATGGCTCTGAAATTCCCTCCACCTTCAAGGGACTGCACTCCCATTAAAATCCAGTTCCAGGTACCTGACATGAAACCCTCACACACCTTGCAAAGGGTCATGGAACATATTCCTTGAAGACCAGGTCACTACTGATGGACAAATTGCTTTCTACCAAAAGTTGTCCAACAACATTAGCATTCTTATTTAAAAGTCTTACATAGGTTTCCAAGGAAGCTCAAGGTTCCACACAACAGGGTGAGTACATCACAACAACAGATGCATTCTATCGAACTCAGTGCCTCTGTAGGCTCATTCAAGAACAGCTCTATGACCCCAGGATGCCAATCTTTATGGAGGCTATGACCTCTGGTGGTAGACCTTTCAGTAGGAACCATCAATGGAAGCACCCTTGCCATTTCCATGACTGAAAAAAGGTCACTGGATTACTTTAAATTTAAAGGAAGCTACTGCTCAGAAGTTTGTAAGTCTAACAGAAGCATAACACTGGTCTGTATTTAGATTTTACCATGATCCCAATTTTGCCCTATCTGAAGGTTCAAGGAAGGAAGGAAATATGGCCATTAACGTCTGCTGCAGATTGTATTATCATTCAAAAGCACCATGTTTGAGGTTTCTGAATTTCTCAACAAAGATGGTCAGGGACTATTTTGACCGAGAACATAAAGCCACATTGTGATTGTTATCTTAAAAGAGAAGTGCCTTGACTAACAGAGGAGACAGGTCAGGAGTGGATGTGGCTAGTCTGCAGCAGCAGCAGCAAGATAAACCAGAGCCTAATGACCATCCATGGCTCTGTTTAAAATGTTAATTTTTTAAAAAAATTAAATGCAGGGTGATAGATGCTCAGAGCATGTGTAAAGGGTGGGCTTGCATGTGTCCCATGTATGTGTTGAAGGGCAATCTATAAATCATAAAAATAAATTAAATTAGATATCAGAATTTTAATTAGACTGAAAGTGGATACTTCCAACTCTGACTCTTGCTCATAGGAACAACCCAGGCATTCTTACTAGTCAGTGTGACTTAACAGCAGAGAGTAAGAAAATCAGCTGTAGTTTTAAGGGGAAATACAAAATGCATTCACAGGGTGAGAGATCTAGGTATATGACTTGCATATTACAGCCCTTACATTAATTCCACTTTGAGCTAAAAGGTTTCCTATTTTGTTCTCCGCAGTGGCATCTACAGCAACGCACTGCTTTTATCAGAATGAAGAAAGCGGCTTTTGCAGTGTGACACCGCAAGCGTCGCCTTACAGGGGCGTACAGTACATGCAACGTTGCAATGCACACAGAAAAGGGAGGGAGCTCCCATCGTGATGCTGCAACACTGCTCTCCCCAGTCTGATCTCCCTTGCCCATTCCCCTGCAGGCGCTGCAGGTTCTCCATAAACTGGGTCACTGTCCATCTGCAAAACCTGCTCGATGATTCAGTGCAGGGTCAGCAACATAGCGCTTGTGAGCGCCAGCATCCTTCTAACACCTCCCTCAGTATCTGGAAAACTTCTTATCTTGCTTTAAAGAATCTTTTAATTAAAACGCAATAGAAGGGTAACTGGCATGCTGCACAGCAAGTACCAACTCTATCATCATCTTTATTTACAAGAATGCCTCTAGGGCCCAAAAGGCATTACGACTGGGCATGTAACACAGAAGACTCACCCAGGGCTCCCACAACACTGGCCAATCAAGACTGCCCAGACCTGGTTTTCATGACATACTGAAGGATCAAATAACCTAGATGCTAGATCTGCTTTCTGTGCAGATGACTGTAGAAGCCTGAACTAAGCACACTTTAGGGTAAAAATATAATACATAAAAATGAACATGTACCTGTGGCCTTATGCATAAGCTCATGCTTATGCTTATCTTTTTATAGGAATGAAAGTTATTCATGAGTCTGTAAACCTATATACAGTAGAAGCTATATATGTTTATCTCTCTCCCTTTTCCAGCTTGTACACTGGCAGAATAGGTAACAGCCTTCTTATCCTTCACCTTCTAGTCCATGAACCGCTTTGGCCAAACTCATATCCTCCAGAAAAATGCCTGCATCCAAGGAGTGCCATTCATGTTCACTTCTCCTTACTTCATATTCTGCTCCATACTGCAGCAGAATTCCATTCCATGAAGGCATCTATGCAAGTGGTAGTTGGGAGTTTATATAAAATGTTACACACCTACAGTGTTGTGCAGCTTCATCTCTAGCCATGCATGCCTGACAGTTTTGACTATGTAATCCAATGCCAATTGCTTCAGAAAAATCTGATTTAATGAGGTTCGCTCACTCCTTTCCTAATCCCTGAACAGTGTAGCAAAAAAGCCATTTATCTTCTTCTAACTTAGCCATTCAAAGCTTTTTGTGAAATGACCCAGTGCTGAAGGTTTACTTGTCTTTGATTCCCAAACTTGGTCATAACTTCCCTATCCGTTGACATTTCCCCTCTGATCTTTAAAAGGGGCTATTCAGTATGATCTGAACCTGAGTTATCAATACCCAACATATCCTATTGTGTTTATTAAACTGTACATCAAGAAGTTCAGACTTAAGCTTATTCTCAAACTGGTGTTACGACTCAAGGATATTCTTTTAAACTAAGTGCATATTCTTCCCCTGTTACCTTTGCCCCAGCATCTTCCTGTTCTCCTGTTATTGCTTTTCCATGCCCCAATTTAATTGGTAAATTCCTCAGGGCGGAGACGTGCCTTGCTGGATGGGGCTGTAATTAGTGACGCCTGCTTGAAGATTCTAAATAAGCAACATGGAGGTGGAGTCACAGAGCTCTCATGCCTAAAGCATCCAGGTTGGTGTTTCTCAACCTAGGCCACTTGAAGATGTGTGGACTTCAACTCCCAGAATTCCCTAGCGCCAGCATGGCTGGCGTAGGGAAGTTTTGGGTAGGTTGAA